TAAGAATTACATAAGTCTGATTCAACATGATTCTTTTTATGTTTCCCTTGCAAAACATAAAACAACTGAGGAGGTCTAGTTTATATCCATAAAGTTATCTAAGTTGTAAGGAAGACTTAGACAATCTTTTTTTTATCCTACTGTTGATACTTTAAGAAAATTCACAATTCCGCTAGAATTTCTTTAACTCAGAATTAAGCTATTATGAAAAATTATTACAGCTAACTTCAATAAGAATTTCTCTCTCTCTCTCTTTATCTCCCCCTCTCTCTCTTACACACACACACTGAACTACAGCCTCACCATTTAATTTAGTAAATTCACATGAACCCATCTTGTGTAGGTAATGATGTAGTGTGACATAAAATTGTCCTGGAGTAACCACTGTACACAGGTGGTCCTCAATTTAAAATCACAATTGAGACCAGAATTTTTGGTCTTAAAGAAGCCAATTGTTAAGTAAGCCAGGCTCAATTTTAGGATCTTTCTTGCCATTGTTGTTAAGAGAATCATAGCAGTTGTTAACTGAACTGAGAAATCGTAAAGGGGGAATCCTTATTTCCCCACTGATTTCGCTTGCCAGAGAATAGCTGGGAAAGTCACAAAGGCTGTTCATGTGGCTGCAGACATTGCAACATTTAGAATACATACTAGTTAATAAGGACCCAAATTTTGAACATGTGACCATGGAGATGCTATGATGGTTGTAAGTATGAGGACTGGCTGTAGGTTGCTTTTTTCAATACCATTGTAACTTTGAACGGCCACTGGTTGTAAGTCAAGAACTACCTATAGTTATGAACAAATATAAATTAGAAACGAAACAATACATGCTTTGTTCTTAAGGAAAAATTGTAAATGCCACTAGGGACTATATTTAGGATTATAAAGTCAATAAAAAGTATTGTACAATTTTACACTAAGGGTAGCACATTACATTTAACAAAATAAAGCATACGAAAACAATAAGTTGCCATCACAGAATCAAAACTTATTCTAAGATTCTGTCATTCCTTTCACACAGAACATTGTTGTGGAGCTGCCTACCCAGAAAAAAACAACAGATTGTCAAAATCTACCCACTTAAAAAAAACATATTATAAAGCTAACTGGTTTTGTAAAAACTGTCATATTATAATGCAAAGAAAAAAAGAAGGAAAGCTAACACATACCCTCAAATAACCTGTAGCAATTAGCTAATTGTACTAAATTGTACAATCTAATGTTATAAAGTTGTGTAAAACAACCCATACAATTCATCAGTGCAGATTTGTTGTTATTCTGAATAGTTTCTTATGGTTTCCCATGTATTCCTTTTTCTGCCATAAGTCTTTCTCCCCTGCCAAGGATAAATTATAATTATAATTAGACTTTTCATAGGTTTTATGTTAGCCATGCAGGTGTTATCCCCGGGAACTATCACCTCTCCTTTATATCCCCCTAGCAATTTGAATCAGATTTTTCATATTACAGATATATCCCTTTTACCAACTCATTCATCTCTGTAAATAAAGATCTGTTGGCTCCTTGATTGGGCACTTAATTAGAATTGCTAGAGGCGGTCACTACCTAGGAGATTAATTATCACAGAGGGAATTCAATCAATTGTTAGAATGACAGAGGAGGAAAAATAAGTCAGAGTGGAGGAAGAGAATTGATATACCTCTAGTAACAGAAATATCAGGAAAACTCTTGAGCAGAAAAAATGCTGCATTATTGGTATGAAGAACAAAAGAGAGCCGTAACATAAAAGAGAACCATATTAATAATTGTAAAGATTATTTGATGAGCATAACTGCCACCCTAAACCTTCTTCAGTTTTTTACTCTAGATACTGTATGTTGGACCATACAACTCCGAGACAGCATCTGAGTTTGTTCTGTTAATTGGGTATCATGAGACTTGAGGTTTGTCAAATCTAGACAGCATCAGGTTGGAAAGACAGCAGGTTTTTAAATTGTTATTCTTTCTGATTTCTTTGAAGGGGAACAGTCCACCATACTATATTTGGGTTAAATATGAAGTCAAATATTGTTTCTAATAATGTCTCTGATATTTAAGGATTATTGGTACTGCATTACAAGATAGCCTTAGCTTCTTATTCATTCCAAGTTTGGATAATCTTTTTTTTTTTCATGCTATAGATATGCATCAATCTCTTTGGAGAAAAAAACAACCCAGTATTTTGTATGTGTATTGAATGTCATCTGCTGGGCAAAGAAGGAACAACGTATCAGTAAAGAGTCCTATTTTAACCAAATAGTTTTGAGAGCCCAACGCCCAAACTAGCTAATCTAAATTCCTTGA